ACTCCCCTCCAGGCAGCGTGATCTGTGCCGACGCGAGCACTGAGGTCACCAAGGTTAATCAGCTTGTCCGCCTTCGGTGCCGTCGCCATGAGTGCGTGCAGGTCTTCCCGGAATTTGTTTCTTACGTCGTTGGGACCGGTTACTAAGAGGGCAAAGGCTCTGACGGTGATGGCTGATTTAATTCCGCCAAGAGGAAGTAGTAGGTTCGCGAGGTGGTCGTTGATGCCCTGACGCAGACAGTCTGCACAGTGACTCACACACATGCACTACGAGACCGTGTTTCTTCTAGGCCGATAATGATTGGCTGTTTTATTGCACCCACCGCATGACTAACCGCCTCCTGGAGCTCCAGAAGGGGTGGAACCTTAGCACAGTGCATCCGCGCAGCACAGGTTTACGTGTACAGTACAAATGGCAAGACATGACTCATCCGACAATTGAAGACCACTCTCACCTCCCTCACCCTCGCCCCCCCTCGTCATCTGTATTTTCTAAACTACCTGCTGGTGTGGAACTAAGACCCGGTTGTTGCGCGAGCATGTGCCAGTCAGAAAGGCTCAACTGCAAGCCGCATCATATGCAGCGCCGTCCTCTTGTCCCAGGCTATTCACTGCAATGCTCTTTTTCCTTACGTGAGACAGGCTGATTTGAGGCTCTGGTGGCTGAGTTTTTGTGCTGAGTTTATGGTAGGTTACTGTTAGCACTGCGGATAACCACTAAGACAGGGATGACTGATGCACAAAAGACTGGGTTAAACATTTCGGATTGATTGGTCTTCGGATGAGAGATCAATCCTCACCTCAAACTATTTATCCAGTCCAGCCAGCACGGGTCTCCCAAATAACTAAGGCGGATTATAATGTGTCATGCTGCCCTTCCAATAGCTATTCTTCTCGTTCTTCCCACTGTGCATGGACCATGCGTAACTGCTTTTGTCTCTGATGATGGGCTCGAGCAGGAATCCGAAACGTCAGGCTAATAAAGCTCTTGTCCCAGCGATCGTGTCTCCTTCTTCAAGACTGCTTCCTGGGACTCGTCTTTTCGCTTCGTTTGGCAATGTAGTTAGCGCTGGCACTAAAGAAAGCCTTGAATTCCAAGTAATGAAGGAGTGTTTGGGCCACTTATGGATATAATCATTGTCAGTACCCATACCGGTGCTCAATATGACTACTATTGTTGGAAATTGGCTTGTTACTATGGATGCTAACGAAGAGCGGTCTCCTGGAAGCATCTGCGAAGGAGGCGCTGTTGTCCGGGAGGACGAATCCTAATGTAAATCCGAAACGTCTCCTTCTCCGCAACGCCGAAGGTCTTATAGCGTCTAAGCAGTGAGGGTATTCAGAGCGCTACAATCATCAGACCAAATCCCGTGTTGTGAAGGGAAGACAGAAGCCACCAGGATGAGGGGTCTATTGTGCAGAGAACCCTGCACTTCCCTTCTAGGTTACTGGCTGGCGAAGCCAGGGCTGGTATTGGCTGCGTCCGAGGGGCGATGTGTCTAGTAACTTATGCTGTGTTTGAGCCACGTGGTAGATGCAGCGGAACAACACAGGGGGCATATCGGATTCTGGCAAGTGTTATCGGATTTCCGCACTATAACAAATGTCAACACTTCGGGGTTGCGGTGGTCGACCCGGTGGCTGGCAGATGTCGCGCAGATTGGGACCGCTGCGGCCCTTCCAGTTGTTTTTGTTGGTCAAAATCCTGGTCATCTGGTGTGTAGACCAGGGGGTCTGGTGGTGCGCCTAGGTGCGGGTTCGACAGCGTCATCCACCTGCACCCTCCCCGCATCTGGTCTTCTTGACTCCGTCTTGACAACGGGCCCAGGCGAGGAGTGAAGTGAGAGTGCGGTAAATGCAGTGCAAGTCTACTACCACCTTAAAATGATTCACGTACAAGTCACCGTGCCTGCTCTTATCTCGCTGCGGAGCACACGGTGGACAACGTCGGCAACGACGGTCGAGCTGTGGGATGTTGTGTTCGCAGAGGCTGGCGCGTTCTAGTGGAACCTGGGCGGCTGCGACTCTGTGCACGCACGTGTGTCTGAGTTGAAGTCGATCTAGTGGCTACAGGCCAGTGGGTCTGAAACCGCTCGCTGCGGAGGTGGATGACCTTGAGACAGCGGGGCCTTCGACAAGGACGCCAGACATGACCGTGATGGCGGTCTGTTCAGTGTTTTTTAGACTAAATTGATGTTCCATTACAGATTCCCTCGAAATGCTTCAAAATGAGGTTCAACCCATCCGTCAACTGGACAATACATACCTCCTAGTCTCCACAGTAGGTAGGCTAACTCATGAAATGCCAACCCAAATTCTGAAATGCGTTTTCGTTTCAAAATATTGATTTAGGTTGCAAAAATCATCATCCTGCCGCATAATTCTATTCATACTGACCCAAATGTGAAAAACTCGACACCTCGGTGGGATTCGAATCCACGCAGTAAGAGGAGGGCTTTAGTAAAACCAACGCTCTAACCATTTGAGCTACTTGAGGTCTCGTAGCTCACGTGGTTTGAGCGTTGGTTGTACTAAAGCCTTCCCCTTACTGCGTGGGTTCGAATTCCACCGAGGCGCCGAGTTTTTCACAGTTGGGTCAATATGAATTATTGAAAATCTACCAAAATATCTATGCATAATTCTATCACAATTAAGCTACCTCAGGATGCAGGCTTTCGAATGAACTTCTTTTCGGCTGCATGGAAAAACTATACTCTGCAAAAATGACTATTTAGGTAACATGAATTTTTCCCATTAATTTTCGATACCCTTAGAACGTCAATTATATTTCGTGGAAAACATGTATAAAAATATTCATTTTTCTGTTCATTCGGTAGGAAATTACGCCTTCATTCAAATCTATACTCGAAGAAAGGGTATAATTTGTTTTAAAAATTTTCTAATTGTGAGATTTTTTAATACCGTGAAATGGCCGTTCATAAAACGTCATGTCTCAGCATTTACCAGTGTTGCTTGCAAAGTTAACAATATGGCTCAAATCCACTACTAAATTTTATGAACCCCATATGATCTCCTTTGAATAC